GACATGTGAAAAGGTAAAAGCATTCCCATTACCCAATTCCCAGTATTTGTAGTACGGTGCACAACTCTGCTAACCGGGCGAACGATAAAGCAGTTCTGAGTATGTGTGTGTGAATGTGTGATCCTGCGAAAGTGGAGCTTTTGAGTATGTGTGAGCGGATCAGGATGAGCGGTTTGCTCGACAGGGTCATCCCCTATAAAAGACCGCCAGGGCATATCAACGGGATTATTGTCAAAGTAGCGGCCAGCTAGTTGTGGTTTCTTAAATTGTGCGCGTAGATACGAGTGAAAAGAAAATAATTAAAATAAAAAAAAGGCGGTTCAAGCCAAATAAGCGGTGTTTGTATATACCGCCAGCTAAACAGTTACCAGCAGTCTTAGTGGAAGTCGGGGGAATCTGAGGTAAGTCATTATGATTGTCTTAACCGCGTATGCTTATATAATAATTAAGAAGCGATATCTTCGCGCTCATATTTGCAGACACGCATGCGTACCAATGTACAGTGACGAGCAAAACTGTAACATGGTTTAACACTTTTTGTTTCAGCCACCGCTATATTTCCAAGTTCTAACGACTTTCATACTTTTGCTGTATATTCTCGTTGGTACATCCCCACTCCCTCTCTCATAATGATTTGAAGTCAATACAACAACAATAAAAAAACCAGCAGACAAAAATGTAAATTAAGGAAGATGTTACAGTTTTGCACTCATATATTTTTAAGAGCTTTTTAACAATTTTCACGAAAAAAAAGAACTACTAACACAATGTTCAGTACTCTTTTGCCTGTTTCAGTTCCTGGATGTGATTTGGCATACCTTATTTGTATCTTTGTAAAAATTCTGGAGGTAGATCCTTAGTTCGCTTTCACAGCTCATGTACTCGATTTTACGGACTTTGATACTTATTAAGCTGTGCTTTTAGTTGATTTCGCAAATTCTATGAGATTCATGTCCGCGGTTTGTGGAGGTCATTTCAAATTAGCAAATTTTTGCTTTTGTATCCAGTCTTTGCGAACATATGCAGTATGTTTTGGGTGATTTTTCAGCAGAAACTCTCATTTTTCGACTACATCTTGCAAATTTTGTTGAAATATGAACAGATACTGTTCCTTACGCATAATGCGTACCAACGGACCAATAAAATTTTTGAAATACAACCCCAAAAAATTAGGATCCTACCACTGTGATTCACAGTTTGCAGTACATGATGCGCTTAGGCTTAATTTGGGTCTTTGATCCAATACCATGCCCGGCCATCTGATTGAAAGCGATTAATTTAGTCTTGTCAGACCAAATAACCTTCAATCGAAACTTAAAAATATGTTTTTTATTGCATTCTGAACGGCCTAACATATCCCAATAGGCAACAGTTCGGTTTTCGTGCGATGTAGCGAAATGCTGCCACACTCGCACATGTATTATGATCAAATTTGCTTTTTTCTTCTTTATGATGCCTTTGAGCTCAAATTGGCAATTCTTCGCCTCGCCGTCTATTGATTTGCATTAAAGTTTAATACCTTAAGCGCTTCTGTAATAGTGGCTGCATCGCTACTTGCTTCTAAGCTCACAAGATATCGTACCGTAATATTTTTTAACAGACTTCCTTTGTCCTTGGGAACACTTTAGGCTATATTTTTCCTAAGTCTTAACATTTTTAAGTAGCAAATTCCAAAATTTTTTGCTACTTTTCGTGCGGTTTCGCCTTTCCGCAGTAAATCTATTATTTACATTTATGGTTCCTGATTAACTATGTTATTTACTGGTGATCACTTCTTCAATAAAATACAATATAGAAAAAAGTCATCTGACTTCCAACTAAGTAAAAGATAACTGTCAAATGCAAAACTGAGAGTGAGTGCAAAACTGTAACATCTGCCTTAATTTACATTTTTGTCTGCTGGTTTTTTTATTCTTGTTGTATTGACTTCAAATCATTATGAGAGATGGAGTAGGGATGTACCAAGAAGAATATTCAACAAAAGGATGAAAGTCGCTAGAACTTGGAAATATAGCGGTGGTTGAAACAAAAATTGTTAAAGCATGTTACAGTTTTGCCCGTCACTGTATATGCTTACATGTGTATATTTGGTATTGCAGGCATATGAACGCAGCTATAAATATCCGCATGTATATGGCAGTTGATATATGTATGGGATTGTCAGATTACTAAATATCCGCATATTGATAATTACAGGTCGCCAGCGGAGAACCTGCGAAAGGACTTCCAGGAGTGGGTGGAAGAACCCCTGCAGCCAGGTTTAGTACCATCT